ACTACTACTGCTACTGACCTCAACTGGGTCAACTGGGTCCGGAGATTTAGCGTAGCCACCAGGTCAACTGGGCCCACCGCCACCACCACCACCACCACCACTGCTACTGACCTCAACTGGGTCAACTGGGTCGGGAGATTTCGAGTAGCCACCGGGTTAACTGGGCCCACCGCCACCACCACCACCACGACGACTACTACTACTACCACCACCACCACTGGGTCAACTTGGGTCAACTGGGTCAACTGGGGTCAACTGGGTCAACGGGTCAACTGGGTCAACTGGGACACCCTGTTCAACTGGGTCAACTGGGACCACAGATTTAGCGGCCCCCTGTGCCGACGCACTCTATATAATGAAATACGTAAATATAACTCACTGTTGGTTGTGCAAGTATTTTTTCCAGTAGGTGGACCCCATGTATATTGTCTCACAACAAGGCACCGCCTTAAAAAATAAGGATTTCAGGATAACCACACAGGAAAACCAGATTTACATACAAGTAAGTACAGGATTCCATAAGACCACAATTTGGTGATTTTCCTAGGGAACCTCCAATTTACCGAACCATGTAGGCAAAGGTGGACCTATAGGAACAGATAATGTCACACAAGATATCAGGAAAAGGTATTTTCTTTACCCATTCCTTGGTGTGGGGAGATGAAGCGGCTTGTGTCGACACTTGCTCGTTGATGCTCACATCGAGGGCTTTGGGCATTTGCTCGCCTTAGCGAAAGGCTAATCTCCTGGAGAGGGCGATGGGGAGAGAGAGAGAGAGAGATCAGGAAAAGGAACATGTAGGCTCAAGATTTGGGCTCAAGGTTCTCAGGTGGCTCAAGCCGGGTGACCTGACTTTGAGGTTGACGGTGGCACTGGCCCTATTTCTTTGTGAATAAGGAGGAGGTGTCCTTTGTGAAGGGTGGCTTTGACCTTGCCCGTAATCCGAGATCGAAGACGGCCTGACAGAGTTTGATCCTTGGTGGTGATGGAGTGGACAGGCTACGTCCAGGACTACCAGAAGGTCAGAAGCCGCAGGGCATATGTTGCCTGCAAAGGATGCAGCTCCTCATGGATCTGGGCTGACCGAGTCAGCGCCAGTCGATGGGGCTGTAACAAGTGTGGCACACCTTGGCCAGCTCCGGAGGCATGGAAAGTGAGCCCATCGCCCACCAGAAAGGTCAAGAAGCCAAGGCTTTTTTGAAGGCTCTTGGACAGGCTGGCATCCTTTTCAATTCGGAACAGCAGAAAGAATTGGAACGCAATTTGGCTGAAACCTTGGCCAAGCGACGCAAGACTGATGAAGCACAGTTGAGTGGGTAGCATCAGCTGGACACCTTGTGCTGGAAAAGATGGTGAAAGTGGGGTAGTTTCTCCTGCAGTGAAGGGGTCCTGGAGGAAAACTTGGGATTTTGCACCAGTCAAATGGGTAGTTGGGGAGTGACAAACAATTGGGAATGTTTGAGCACTTGGAGGTGTACCTGGTCACCTCACCTTGCTTGGGGTCATGAGCAATGTGACGGTGATTTGCAGCAAACGTTGACAGATGATGTGTATTACAGTCATGGAGACTTGGTGCATGTCGACAATCAAGGTTTGCAGCCGTATGTGAATGTTGGTGGATACCATGACACGCCATTTCCATGTGAGTTCAATGGTAGATATGGCATTGACATTGGCGTTGATCAAGATTTTTCAGTTTTGTTTCAACCGAGGGTCGGCATGAGCCATGCCCATGTGGATCCGGTGGATGATGGTCATATGGAAGCCAGTCATGAGCCTGCAATTCTTTCTGCAATGACGGAGGAGATTAGAGCAGGGCAGAGTGGCTAGCAGGAGAGAGGTGAGGACGTACAGAACAATGGAAGTGGTCAGGAGGGGATAGGGGCACCGCCCATGTGGAGTTCAGAGCAGCTGGCGCAACCCAGACTCGCTTCTTGCGGGACCCTGAGTCCTCCCCTAGAGCGCAGGAGGAAGAGAGGTTCGAATGTGGACATGTCCAATGTGCCTTCTTGGGAATTTGACTTTAACCATCCGCAACAAAGGCAATCGATGTTTTGCAAACACGGTCCTCAGGATGTGGTGCTGACAAGCCAGGAGAATTCTGGGTCCTCCACAAACTTGTGCCTTCAATTGCTCCAGCAAGACGACATTCCAGATGTCTTCTGGGCCTCTGAACTTCAGCCGGTCATAGCCAAACTGGAAAATCCCCAAGCACAGCATGATGCCTCGGAGTTTATGGTGTTGTTGTGGAGTTTGGAGGACGGAACCATGATTTTGAGACCCTCCCGCTCTTTGTCAGGATGCCAGTGGAAGCTGGAGATGATGTTAGTTTTGAGCAGCTGTTGACAGACTGGTCCAATGAGGCAAATGGTCAGTGCCTTGGAGAAGACGTCCAACACATCGTCTTCCATGTTGGCAGGTACCATCTATGCGCCAAAGCCAAATCTTGGATCAAACACCACAACAGGCTTCAAATACCCTCCACTTTCAAGTGTGCGCAGAGGACCTCAATTGGGCATGTGGGGCATGGAACTTTTTTCCTGCGGGGAGTCATTGCACACCAAGGAGAAGAACTCATCTCAGGGCACTACGTCACCCTACTGGTGGAAGGGGATGCTGTGTGGTCTGCAGATGATGGCCAATGTCCGCAGGCCCAGACGGCCATTCCTGAGATCTTTCAGACAGGAGCAGTGATGATTTGGGCGTCCAAAGCTGAACACTCACAGTTCTGGACAAGGACGATTGGAACCTTCGAGCCACCGCCGAAGAGACCACGACTCACTGGTGAAGGAATTGAATTTTTCTACAGCAACATCACGCAATGGAACACCCAAGCCAAGGAATGGCTGCTGCAAACTGAGCATCATACAGTGGCCATGGTTGAGACTCACCTTCAAGGTAGTAAGATGGACCAAGTCAAAGCGGCCCTCTGTCGAACCAGATGGCAAGCTGAGTTCCTGCCAGCACATGAGACAGGACGAGGTGGCAACAGTGGTGGGCGCCTCTTTTGCTGCAGGGAGGGACAGTCAGCATACAGGCTTCACCACTTTGACAAGGATGGCAATGGTTTCTTGGCCAATGTGCTCCAGCGGCAAAAGCGGGAGATAGTCCTGGTGTCACTTTACTTGAAATGTGGAGAGGACTTGAACTCCCTGGCCAATTCCACGGTCCTTGGTGAGCTGGCTGCCTTTCTCAGAGAGCTTGCAGTGCCCTGGATAATCATTGGTGATTTTCAAGTACCACCGGAGCAATGGGAAGGACATCATCTGCTCAATGTCCTGAAAGCTGAATGGCAAGCTACTTTGATCAACGGGGCAGAGATTGATTACGTCCTGGCCAGCTGTAATGTGGTTCCTTTTCTGGAGCTCCAAGTGCAATGGGAGGCGCCGTGGAAACATCATGCTGGATTGCTACTCAAGGTCAACAAAGCAGCGCCAAGGCTCATCCTTCCTCAGCTCACCCAGTTTGCGGCAGTTCCCAAGCTAGAGGATGCAGCCAGGTCATGGGACGATTTCAAAGCATCTCCCAAGCTTTTCTGGCTTGGACGGCCAACAGGACCAAAGGAGCAGCAGTGTGCAGAATGGTGCCATCAAGCGGAACAATATGTCCTCCAAAATCTGACGGAGCCCAGGCAAGGCAGAGGATGGTATCTGGCATTCGAAAAGCCACTGCCGACAACGAAACCGCTCACGCCATGGAAGAAAGGTGATCTGGTGGAGAAGACTGGGGTGGCCAGCAAAGGCAGGTTGACAGCCAACTCCCTGGTGCATCTCAAAGCCAAAGCTGAAGACCTCGACAGACGATGGCAAGAGGTGCATGGTAAAGAAGCTTTTGTTGCAGCCTTGGAGACGCTGGTGTCGGGGGAGAGTTGGCCCCTTACCTTGCTGATCAAGGGTGCGGAAGCCAACCGTGATTTTGCCAAGAAACTGGCCCTGGAGCAGCAGTTCAAGGAGTTCCAAGTTTGGTTGGCCCAAGCATTCTTACGCGGGCACAGTGGCATTTATAGAAGCCTCAAAGCGCCAGATGCTGTTCATGTCAGGCCCTTTCGCACAGTCCCCGTTCAGGACAGACAGCAGATGAGAGAGAAGCAGTGGTATGGTCAGTGGGAGGTGATTGACAAGCCCATTGCCAATGGGGAGCGTGAAAGGTTAAGATGGGAGGCCATTCAACAGGCCAGGAGATGGGAAGACCTGGACCCCCACATGGTGATGAAACGTTTCCAGAAGCTCCCACAGAAGCTTGTGGCCCAGATGGCATCAGCTATGCACTACTCAAGAACTTGCCAATTGAAGGGGTCACAGATTTGTGCAATATGTTCCGCACATGGGAACTAGCAGGGTGCATGCCTGAGCAGGTTTGTACAACCTTGGTGCTGCTGCTTCCCAAGAAGCCGGAAATCGAGCGGCCCATTTCGTTGACAAGTGTGCTTTACAGAACGTGGTGCAAACTACGTTGGGACAAGCTGAAGCACTGGCAGTGCAACATTGGGCAAAGGTTGCCATGGGAAAGGGGTGTGCCTGGCACACAGGTGTTGCATGTAGCACTCATGCGCCTGCTGAAGTGTGAGGTCAGTCGTGCAGTAGACAGGCGTGTGATCAGCCTCCTGATCGACTTGCAGTGCTTTTATGATTCAGTTGAACTTGCACAACTTCTCCACCTATGGGAACCTTTGGATTTCCCTGGTGTGCACATGAATTTTCTGTATGAAATATACAGTGGACCACGGCTCCTACAAGCAGAACAAGTGACCAGCAGTCCAG